TTTTTTGTATCGGTATCTGTTTGGGGGCTTTACAACAGCAACAACAGCAATGACGACAATGCCTTTATCTGAAATTTTTGGGGTATTTGAAGGCTGTCAAATGAAAAAAAAAGTATAAGTAAGTACACTGCATCTCTTTCCACATACTTAACCTAATAGGAACGTCTGCATCCATGTTAGATATTATTTTTCATTTGGAGATATTTACACAAATAGTGATGAACTTACTGAGATAGGCAAGCAGCCATGGTCCCTTCACTGCCTTCCCTTGATGCCATGGCCACCATTAGTTAGTCAATCCTGTATTAGGAATTTCAGTGCAAGAAACCTTCTTGCCTTTGTTAATGAAGTTTTGTATCTGAATCATTCTTATGGATCATTATTGCACCTACTATTTTGATCAAGGGGTTAATTGCAGATAGACCTCTGTGCTATTGCCAAATTGTGGATAGACCCAATGTAGTTTATTGTTGCACCCCTGAATGATTTTTTTTTACTAATTTACCCTCATAGATAGAGAGATTTATTTTTTGATAAATAGAGGCCTCAGTGAGGGTAAAAGATTCAAAGAAATTTCATTCATGGGGTCTATCCACAATTGGGCTGTAGTAGAGGGGTCTATACGCAATGATAAGAAGATAATTAACCCTAAACTAAAATTGTGGAATGGAAAGAGTACAGGACAGGAAACATGGTAATACAAGTTCCTATACGGAGCGCCTTCCTTTAGTCTTCTGTTTTGTAGTGCCTGTGGCTGTTGCCGATAGTCATGGAAACTATATTCACCGCATGAAACTTCATGTTTTTGTCAAGAAAATACTACATAATATCTTAGATTACACATGATATGATGATAACTATCTTAAGGAGTGATTTACATGTCAATCAAGTGATTCAACTCGAAACCATCTGCTTGAAATTACTGCAGTGGTCCTAGAGCAGTATCTGTTGTGGACTCTTCATCAGAAAAGCTAGGTGGAGCGAGTGTTGTTGCAACATCTGTTGTTCCTGATGAAGTGGATAGGATCAAGGATATTCTACAGAAATGGAGTGACCTTGATAAAGTTGACCTTATCATTACTTTAGGTTAAATTTTGCCTTGTGTCTTTTACTCATTAATATCAATGGTCGTGTGTTCTTTCTGATTACAAAATGGTTATCTTGGTTTCCTGATATTCTTTCAAGGTGGTACGGGCTTTACACCAAGAGATGTCACACCTGAAGCCACAAAGGCTGTTATTGAGAAGGAGGCTCCTGGTCTCTTATTTGTGATGCTTCAAGAGAGTCTCAAGGTACCATCATCCTCTGTGACATCTGTTTAAAATTAGTACATAATCTTAATGGCGTCCGGCCTTTGTAATTAGTATCATGGGAAAATTGAAATTTTAGAGGGGGTTTTGTGGGACACCTTAAATTTCAGGGAGGTTTAGTGGAATTAAAAAAAAGTTTTTGAGGATTTTGTGGAAATGTCTCAAAGTTCAGGGAGGTTTTCTGAAATTTACCCATTAATTTATGTTGCTTGTAACCTGATTTTGTATCAACCTGTTCAATATTTTGAGATGACAGCTGACGCCATTTGCAATGCTGTCACGGGCTGCAGCTGGGATCAGAGGTTCTACCTTAGTAATATCCATCTCCCCAAATACATTTGTGCTCGATGCAGTCCTGCTCTTTCATCTATTAGTAACTTTTCTCTCTTCTATGGTATTGTATTCAGATCATCAACATGCCAGGCAATCCAAATGCGGTTGCTGAGTGCATGGAGGCACTGCTTCCTTCACTTAAACATGCACTGAAGCAGATAAAGGGCGATAAAAGAGAGAAGCATCCTCGACATGTTCCCCATGCCGAAGCACAGCCTATAGACCAATGGGAGCGCAGCTTTATGGCCGCATCATCAGGCTCGCAAGGATGTTCTTGTTCACATTAAATTGTTTGCTGCTCAGAAGCATGCAAGCAATTCTGGACAATATAGAGGTGGCAAGTCCAAGTACAGGGATTTCATGTTCTTCATTACCTGCAGCAGAGGTTTATGATATGGTTTGATTTAAAATAATGTAATCGAGGACTAGTGAACATTTTCATCTTTTTATAAAGTGTAGTGGGAAAAGGTTAAAATGCGGAACTTCAGAACTCAGTTCTTTGGTGCTGTAATACGTCCGTTGCCTTTGTAGTTTGATAGCTTGTTGTACCTTGAGAACATGACAGAAGCAACAATCGTCAAAGTTTTTGTTTATCGGTTTACATCGGATAGTGGTCTATTCTCACAGTGAATCAAGCTTTCCGTCTATTCTCACAGTGAATCAACCTTCCACGGAAAGCAAATGAGTTGCGTCATTGCTATGGCTTCCGCAGATTCAGTGTTGTTGTGAGTTTATGTACTCATCTGAGGAACGCGTTTGGATAGCCAAATTTTGGGGTCAGGCTAAGAATCATGCCCCATTAAACATCAGCCTCGGGCAATTAATGATGGAAACGTTAAATTCATTCAAGAGAACAGTAGGGAAACGGTTGAAGAGAACAGTAACAAGAATGACCGAGTAGAAAATGGTAGCGTTGACGTAGACATCAATTTAACTCGTACGCAGCAAAACGAAAGAGAAAAGACGGATTTTTCACAGCACACTGGTAGCAACATCGCATTCAATCTCACAGAATGATCATCAAACCATATTGCAGGAAACAGAAAGCTAAGAGAGCAACCAAGGAATAGCTACCCGTAAATAAAATGCAGTTCCATCCTATGAATTCAGCACAGGAACATACAATGAAGCTCTCAGAGATCGCTAGAACATAAATAATATCACACTCAGTCGGCAACAGTTGCAAATTTAAACACCAACCTACTAATGGATCGTCAACCATTTACTCCCAAGAGATGCGAAGGAAGGAAAAGATGGTCATAGTTTTACATATGAGAACACTGTAGATATTTCAACAAATTGTCAAGAACCATTCCCTCAAATGCCGGGTATCTAGAACAAAAAATCACCCTTCCACATTCAAGAAAACCGCCCTTTAAAATGTGAATGCTCAGGTGTACATGAATACCCTAGAAGGGTAATGCATACACAATCACATTACCCTAGATGCAGAACTCTACCTTCCATATGGAT